GGGTCCTGGGATCGAGCCCCGCATCCGGCTCCCTGCTCCGCGGGAAGCCTGCTTCTCCCTCTCCCATTCCCCCTGCTTGTGTTCCCTCTCTCGCTGTGTCTCTCTCTGTCAAATAAATAAATAAAATCTTAAAAAAAAAAAGGAAAATATTAATAATTAGGGAAACTAGGTGAAAGGCAAATGTGCGTTCTTTATGCTATTCCTCCACATTTTCTGTAATTTGAAATTCCCAAACAAAAAGTTGCAAAATAATGAACACTCGCCCCCCCACCCCGAAAGAAGTTGTGGGCGACAATATCCTCACATGGAGCTTTCTCCTCTTAACGTGTAACTACTCGTAACATAAATAGATGTCCTGATGCCGAGTGGCCCTCGGATTTCCGAGCAGTACTGGCCACGGGCACCGCACACAGCCCACTCGGGTTCTGGTGTTTGCTTCCGGCTGTCACCATCACCATCGCAGCCACCCAGGAGCAGTCTGCTTCCTGTCTTTTTGGGTCTCTTTGTTTGGTTTTGATATCAGGGTTAAGGGATCGTCGTAAAATAAATTAGGAACCTATTTTCCTTGTCTGCATACAAGAGCTTGCCGGTAAAGCCTTCTGAGCCTAGTGCCCTCCTGGGAGTAACTCCTGAGTTCTGTTTTCAGTTTCTTCTTTGGGTGTGATTATTGGTTTGTCTGGATTTTCTGCCTTTTTAGGTCTGTTTAGATAACAAATGTATTTCTAGAAAGTGAGTACGTCAATACAGAACTGTGCGTGCTGTCTCAGCAGCTCATAAACTCCTGTAACGGGTGGTTATGTGTATCGTCTTCACTCTGATCTGGACGCCCTTGGCCCTGTGGTTACTAATGGCAGTGAATGTGTCAACATCTAGAAACTTCAGTATGTTATTTTTTCGATATTTTGTAATGATAATTTTGCTTTCCTCTGGTCAATTAGGTTATGTTTTAAATTCCAGCTGGGAATTGTAACAAGCCTTCAACTGTTAATTATTAATTTTGACATACTGCAGTCTGAGTCCTGCCTGGGTGACGTCTGAGGCGTCCAGCCATCCTGGGGAGTAGGACTGGGGGGCTGCCCAGGACGTGCATCCCGTGGTGCCAGGCCGACCAGGACAAGCTGGCCACCCTGGCCACCGTGGCTTTCTATGTCACATAAAGTGTGACCTGTCTTAGTACTTGCTACAAGGGAACTCGGCAAGAACGTGTTTCCTGAGTGTAGGTCACAGAGTTTAAATTTAGATCTACTTAATAAATTTAATTAATAATATTTCTCAGTTCCTCTATATCTATTTTTTTGCTGATTTGATTAGTCAAAAACTGAGGGAAGTGTGTTAAAGTGTGGCCACTGATACTGTATCTGTCAATTTTTCCACATTTTTTCAAGCCAGTCTACTTTACACATTTCAGCACTGTTCTTTCTCATGTGAAAGTTCATTACTGTGACATTGATAAGCCTTTAGCAAGATTGACCAAACTAGAATGAAAGAAGATTCAAATACTGACACCAGGATGAGTCAGGGGCCACTCTAAAGCTTATCAAGGAATCAGGGTTCCTAGGGGGCTCAGTCGGTTGGACGTCTGACTCTTGACTTCAACTCGGTCATGATCGAGCCCCGCCTCCAGCTCCCTGCTGGGCGTGGAGCCTGCTTGGGGTTCTCTCTCCTTCCCCCCCAACAGCGCACTCACACTCTCTCAAAAAAAAAAAAAAAAAAAAGCTTATCAAGGAATATTATGAAAAACTTCTCACTCATAACATTTGACACCTTGGAGGAAATGGACCAGTTCCTTGAAAAGCACACACCACCAAAAAACCCACAGGATAAAAACCATCTGAAGAGCCCTATAACCATTCAAGCAATCAAATTCATAACCAAAAAATAAATTTCCAAGTCTCCATGCTTTCACTGGGAATTCTGTCAAGAATTAACACTAATTTTTCTCAAATTCTTCTGGAAAACAAAAGAAGAAGAAACATTCTCCCACAGATTTTTGAGGCCACAATTACCTGGTTATAAAAACCAAAGACAGAACAAAACAAGGAAACCACAGACCAATATCTCTCATGAATTTAGATGCAAAAAATCTCAACAAAATATTAGCAAATCAAATCCAGCAATGTATAAAAATAAGCCCCACGTAGGATTTCTCCCACCTGCACAAGGCTGGTTCAACATTAGATAGCTGATCAACAGGCTGAAGAAAAACACTGTGTGATTATGTCAGCAGAAGCAGAAAAAGCATTTGACAACATCCAACACCCATTCATGATTTTATTTTATTTTTTTTTTT